CGTGGCATATGTAAAAATAAACATAAATAAAATTAATTACATTAAACACAAGATAAAAATGAACACAAAGTGGGATACTTGATCCTGGGATCAAGTATACCCCATTTAATAGGATCAACTATCACTGCAATGACATTTTCCTAACAAGAGCAAGTTTTAGGTTAAAACAGTTACAATTTAAATATCAATGTATGATAAAAGTACAAATGTTTCACCTATTTATGCAGTATAATTATAAACTAATTGAATTAAAGTTGTTATAACTTACCTCGCACGCGTAAAATAAACTTTCAATATCACAAAATAGAATAATCTTGATTAAAATGTCAAGCGTATTCTGAAGTAGCAGACATTTGTCAAAATAAAGTAAACAGTATGGCCTCTACCCAGGTGGGTCAACAGAACAGTAATAGGATATCATTGGGCGCCAAATTTAAATGGGGATCAAGTAGCCCATCGGGATCAACTATCCCACATCCTCCCTACCTAATCGGTTTTTCCTGGTTTAGGAATAAACGCCACCTTCGCTCTTTTCCAAGCTTTTGTAATGTTCCCTAGAGCATAGTGAGCTCTCAATATTTGAATCAGGGGACTCATAATTATTTCCAGTGCTTCTTTGAGTAGTCTGGAAAATATATCATCTGGTTCCTTAGTTTTCTATGATTCAAAAGTTTCAATAGCCATCTGACCTTGTAAGAACAAAAGATCTCTTCGGAGGTTAGCCAATCAATTCTGCTTGTGCTACAGTGTGTTTGTTGATTATTTCCGCTACTTAAAAGCGTCGACCCTGGGAAGTGAACACTTAAACGATTCTCTACAGCCGCCTCCTTCATCCTCAATGTCCGCATACTTCCCATTGGGCAATTTAACTAACTTTGGTTTAATAGTGTTATCTCTTTTAAGAATTCTGATAACCCTGGCCCTGTCAGGTACAGGTTTCAATGATTTCACAGAATTATTTCCTTAAAGGATATGATTGTCTTATAGGTTTTTAGTTTAGCATTATATGCTTCCCAATTTGGCCTTTTAGGATAAATCCGTACTCTAGTTTTAAGATCTTGCCTAAAGCATTCCCAATCGGTCATCCCACCTTAGAGTTTCTATAAAATCTTGATCCCGTTTGACTGAGTTTATCTAAAAGCATATATGTATGGATGATCCGAAAGGATAATGCATTCGACACATTACGTATCTAATCCCCATAGAGACCGATCAGTGATTCTGAGCTTAATGTCCTGAAGGTTGGCTTATTATTATTGTTTAGCAAATTAAGTTCAGTAGTGCAAAGGTAATCAAAAGTAATTTACCTCTGTTAGTTGTATCTCTACTACTCCAAATCCAAATGGTGTGGTAGACATTGGAGTATACTCCAATAATAAGTTCTGTGAGGTTTCACGACTCATCGTCTTCGCAAAGATTGGAGCCTGTAGGTCATCCGCCGTTGACCAGTAGTCATTTTTGCCGGGTAGATTATGATATCCGCTAATCAGGAGGAAACCAATAAACTGACGAGTATCTTCATCAGAAACTGTAAAATTATGAAAATTTTGATCCCTTCGAGCATAAGTTTCGCTTTTATTACGTATAAAACTAATAATTTCTGGAGTAAAAAACAAAGGCAATATTTAAAACTCCATTTTACCCATGCTCGGCTGCTACTTTAGGTGGATCTTGGGCTTCTTGCTGGATTGACACTTTTTTACTTCCAACTGATTCCCCTTCGTCATCAGATTCGGCATCACCATTATGAATTTCTACCTCTTCAGGAACCTCTATTGACATGTCAACCACGTCCAAAATCTGGCCATCAAAATTGTCCTCGTCACTATCAATATCTCGGTCTTCTGAAGTGGAAGGAAATATTACAACATCAATGTTACAGGATATTGAGGTTTCCACATCTTCCGAAGCATCCCGTGATAGTCTGTCGGCATACGGATTTCCTAAAACAATGGAATGTCTAAGAAACATAGTTCAAGAGAACGGTACATGTAAGATATGAATGTCTTATTTTACATAATATTTTGTTTTTTTCTAAAAAGCTTTCGGTGCTCTTAATAAAAAATATGAAAATATATGTATCAAAAGAAACCATATGAACCAATAGATTTTTATTTTTAGTTATGTACTTACTTCAAACTCTTGATATTTCAAACTTCAACGCTTTCGAACTCTGGTTATACTGCAGAGTATTAAAAATATCATGGAAGAAGATCTGTTGTCCGAAGGCAGAACTCATGGTTAAAGAATCTACGTGATTGGTATCGATGCAGATCGATTGATTTGTTTAGAGCAGCAAGTTCTAAAATAAAAATAGCCATTGTGATTGCCAACCTCGGTAGGGAGACGACACTCTAAGAAGAAGACTTAGTTCAAGAAAGAAGGAAGACTTAAGAAAAAACATTCTAATTTTCTCAGCGTAAACAATTCAGACAAAAAAAACCAAGTGCACATGTGTCCTTTTTGAATAGCTCTGATCGACTGTTTGTTATTCCTAAATTCGTATTACCACTTGAAAGGCTATTGCACTAGTCGTTATTGCCCTTAAACATTTACGAGCTAACAGAAACGACATAATAATTTATTAGTGTATATTAGGTACTCAATGATGCCGACGTTTCCATTTTGGTACATGGCTAATTCCGAAATTTTTTTTCAAAAAGTATGGAAACAATTCAAGCGCAGTATAAACTATTTACTAAGGTAGTCAATTGGCTACCTTACTTGAAAAAATAATAGTAATAGAATAATTTTTGCGGACTTAACAAAAACCGCAAAACTAATAAAAAAATTGAATTTTTGTGCTTTATACTTTTTTTTTAAGAAAATGAACCCAAACCTAAGTAAAATTTTTTTTCTTCAAACGTCAAATAATGATGACATTACTTATCTTACTTGATCCTGTCAAAGTTTGATGTCTCCGCCGGCAGCAGTTTTTTTTCCCATTTCTTTACGGCGGAGGGAAAAATGTTGTCATGGCAACAATATGAAACATGTCACACAGCAACAATACAAATGTCATTAACAACAATTAAACATCATTTTTATTTATAGTAATAATAAAAGTACAATTAGTTAATGAGGCAATTTCAAAATTGAAACCGTGCAAAATGTTCCCGACTCTTGATACGCATTGGTAATTGTTGATGATACTGATGGTCGAGAACAACTTTCAGCAATCATTCCCGATGTTGGCGAATCATGAGGGTTTAAAATTTTTTGAGCATCTTCGTTCTTATTTCTTATCGAATCCTCTATATATCCTTCGGCAACCGTACTTGATTTCCAGCCCCCGTGTCGTTTTTTGAGGCATTCTAGATTTCCGCCTCCATCAATTAAAAGTGTTGCTGAAGTTCATCGTAAAGAGTGGCCCGTGTATGCGCTTGCATCGTTTAAATTTAAATAACCAGCTACTTTTTGGGCTACTGCGCTGATCGAATGTATTCCCATGGCGCTTCGGTAACACTTTCCATTTTGGTACTTCACACAAATCTACACAAATTTTCAGGCCGCAGTGATGCATACTTTTTATACAGTTTAATGTAGTTTTGACCAATTATCGTAAAAGATCTAATTTGTTGTGTTTTACTGTCTGGGATTTTGATAATTATTACATTTTCTTTATCCTCAATGTCCACAGTCTTCATTTTTACTATTTCGTCGCATCGAAAGGCGCCGGTAACCCCAATTAACAAAACAATCTGAAATATTTTTATAATTTAGTAGAGTATACTACATGCTTTGCAATACAATTTTTTTACCTTTAATCCTAAATACAACTTATCTGGCGCTTCAAACAAAAATTTATCAAATTCGTCTCTAGTGAAAACTTTAGACTTCTTTGCAGTATATCCTTCGCTTGTTTTTTTCAGAAAGGCACGTAACTTTAAAAATTTGCTTATATCCACATTTTTTTTAATAACTCACTCGGATTTTATCATAGAGTATCGTAACCACATTGTAGAAGATTTCCATTTATTTTCATTTTCCATTATATTAAAATATGCCAGTAAAACGTCTTCGGTAACTTGCTGTACTCCTCTTGTATCGCACCACTCTTGGAAGTGCTTGTACGCTAACCGATACTTTATTCCGCACTTGGAGGGCCCCACACGTGCTACTGCATCATTAGCCGCGGACTCAATTTCGTTTAGGTTTTCCATTTTCGCAATAAATTTGCGCTTGCGGTTGCAACAACAATAAGCTGTCTTTAATAATTGCAAACAACTGTCAAACAACTGTAACCAGGGAGACGCAAATCCCACCGACGTCTTAATTATTTCAATTTCTAATATCTAGACGACTTTGATAGTTGTCACAGTTAATTTCGAGTAAAAATAGCTTATTAATTGTACTATTTATAATTGAAAATTGCTACGTCTGAAGAAAAAATAGTATACTTTATTCGGCAAAGAAGCGACTCTTCTTGACGCGCCCGATATTACGCGCCGAACGAAGTGAGGCGCGTAATTTCGGGCGCGTCAAGAAAAGTCATGCTTCTCAGCCTCATAAAGTAATATACTATTGATAAACTAGCAAGCCCCGTACCTTAACAAAACGTTGTGCTTCCAAAAAGGGAACGTTCGCAGTTAAAAGTTTAAGACTATTTTGTTAGTTTTAAAATATTCTCTATATAGTTTATATTTAAATATAAAAATTAAGAGAAAATTGATGAAAATATAAAAATTAAATACAAAATCATCCTCAAAATTTTCACCCATTTTTATGTGATTGTTAATAGATTAATAAATCTACATATGTATATATTATAATCTTAATAATAATCTACATACAAATAAAAAAAAAGGTGTGAACCATAAAAATTTTTAATTTATCATTTTTTATTGCTTAATCCGTTTCAATTAAAATGTGTCACGGGGAATTTCGGTATCGTCTTTTAAGTTTTACTCAACTTCCTGATAAGCAGTTATCAATTTCCAGGTTTGCGATGTGGTTAGCATACTAGTTATTATTATATCAAGGATTGTTTGTACTAAATCGTTCTATATCAATCTATCTATCTAAATCAATATAATATGTGCGATTTTATGGGAATTAAAAATTTAGCTTGTGCTTCAAGAGCAGAGCAGAAATGTTTCTTTAATTCGTTTGATGGTATTTTGTCCGATATGGATGGTAAGTTTTAAAATAACTACTTTAACATATAGCACATATAATAATACATTTAGAATTTTACGACAATGAAGTTGTTTTTTTATATTGGTCTATAATCTGTGTTTTTATTATATAAATATATATATATATATATATATATATATATATATATATATATATATATATATATATATATATATATATATATTTGTCTGCCGGAGGTAAAGGGCACTATGTCACAAATTTGTAATTTTACAGGAGAAGCGTTTTAACTTTATTTTTGGGTCTCGTTATTCACATGATGTATGTCATTACACATTACACATTCGTGTCTGTTTAGCTTGCGTGAAGGAGGAGCTCTGAACTGAGTAGGGGCCCTTCTGTACTTCACGGAAGACAAATGGGCGGGGAATCCTCAACCTCGACACGACGCGTCCCAATGGCTGATAGGGAACGTTCCTATAGATATATAGGACAGGTGTGAATAAGGTCTTACCAAATAAGCACCCGCGGATCAACTGAGGATATGGCATAGGGCAGCAGCTATGTCATTAGTGATTCAAGGCTGAAGGAAAATAACCTCCTCTCAGGTTTGATATCACACATTCACAGGCGGCAATCACATAATGATTTAACCGGCTGTGATACTGCGGTTACAAATCACCAACCCGCCTGGCCAGCGTGGTGATTTAAGGCTATTTTTCCCCAAACTATGTCGAATTTAAAACAAAAAGGAAATGTACCCCAGGTGGGTAGGAGAAATCCGGAATCCCACATCGGGAAACCGATCAGCCTCAAGGATTCTGGGGGAGGCAAAAGCTCGACAAGAACAAATAAGAGAAAACCGAAACTGAAAGAACCCAACAAAATACACATAGCGACATATAACATCAGATCCATGGCTCAAGATGAAAAACTGTACGAACTCGAAGAGGAATTAACTAAAATCAAATGGGATATTGTAGGGTTGTCAGAGGTCAAAAGAAGAGGAGAAATGTGTCTAGAACTAGAATCAGGAAATCGCCTATATTACAAAGGAAAGGAGGAAGAAACATACGGAGGAATAGGATTCCTGATCAAGAAGAAAATTAAACAAAACGTAATCGAGTATAAGAGCATATCAGATAGAGTAGGATACATAATACTAGAAATTAACAGGAAGACAAGAATGAAACTAATACAAGTATATGCCCCAACAACAACACACGAGGAGGAAGAAATTGACAAATTTTATGAGGATATCACCACAGCAATGGAAGACAAAAACATAAAAACAACGATCATTATGGGAGATTTTAACGCAAAAATCGGAAAGAAAATGGAAGAGTCAGAAAACAAAATAGGAAACTATGGACTTGGAACAAGGAATAGTAGGGGTGAGAAACTACTAGAATACTTAGAACAACAAAACCTTCATGCAATAAACACATACTTTAATAAGAAGCCAAACAGAAAATGGACATGGGTCTCCCCAAATGGGGTGACAAAAAATGAAATAGATTACTTCCTCTGCCAAAATACAAAAATCTTCGAAGACGTAACTGCACTTAATAAATTCTCAACTGGCAGCGACCACCGCATACTACGAGCCAAAATAGAAATAAACAAACTACAGATGCAGAAAGCCGGAAGAAAACCAACGGCTATTGACCATAGCAGAATAAAACAAAACGCAGAAGAATATAGACAAGCTTTAAGGGAAAACTATAAACACCAATTAGGAAAGGAAGAGTCGGAAATTAATAAAATTAATAAAGAAATGAAAGAAAAACTCTTAGAAGCGGGAATGAAAACCGCCAAAAAACTAAGAACCAAAGAAAATAGATTAAGTAGCAGGACACTTCAATTAATGGAAAACAGACGAAAACTAATAAGCGAAAACAAAAGAAACACAGTAGAATACGTAGAACTAAACAAACTAATTAGAAGAAAAGCAAGAGAAGATCTGAGAACATACACTGAAAATGAAATTGAGAAAGTAATTGAGAGAAACAAGGGCCTAAAATGTTTACGACCAAATTTAGGGAAGCCTCTACTCATTTCAATAAAGGATGAAACAGGAAGGGAAGAAAGGAGAAAAGATAAGATATCGGAAGAAGTAGAAAGATTTTATAAAGAGCTATACACCTCAAAGAAAGACGCAAACGTAAACACACAAGAATATATTAAAAAAACAATCACTAATGTAAACTCAGAAACACTGCCAAAAATAGAAAATTATGAAATAGAGGTAGCATTATTACAATTAAAGAACAATAAAGCACCTGGACCGGATGGAATCCTTGCTGAAATGCTGAAAGAAGGGAAAGAAGAAATCTTGCAAACACTGCGAAATCTATTTAACCAGTGCCTACATAGAGGAGAAATACCCGACGAATGGAACGAAAGTCTTACAATCCTGCTATTTAAAAAAGGAGACAAAAAGGACATAAAAAATTACAGACCCATCTCACTGCTGTCGCAAACGTATAAATTATTCATGAGGATTATCAACAACAGGCTAGCACACAAACTTGACTCATATCAACCAGTAGAGCAGGCAGGATTCAGAAAAGGATATAGCACCACTGACCATCTTTTAACAATTAGGACACTGATAGAGAAAGCTAACGAATATCATTTAGATCTGCATTTAGCATTCGTTGACTATGAGAAAGCTTTTGATAGTGTGGAAATGTGGGCAATAGAAAGAGCTATAAACAACTGTAGAATAGATTCCAGATACAGAATGCTAATACACAATATATATAAGAAAGCAACAATGACAGTACAATTGGAAGAAAACACAAAACCTATACCAATTAACAGAGGAGTGCGACAGGGCGATGTTATTTCTCCTAAATTATTTACATTAGCACTGGAAGATGTTTTCAAAACAATGGAATGGACAAACATGGGAATAAACATAAATGGAAAGAAACTAAACCATCTAAGATATGCAGACGATGTAGTAATAATAACATCAAGTTTTGAAGAACTACAAACTATGCTAACCGAACTAGCCAAGGAATCTGAACAAATAGGCCTAAAAATGAATTTTACCAAAACGAAAACAATGACAAACACACAAGATAATAGAAACGTAATACTAAATGGAATCACAATAGAAGCGGTTAATGATTATATATATTTGGGACAGATAATAAAAATAAATAAGGAAAACCAAACAGCGGAGGTAAAAAGAAGAGTCAGATTAGCCTGGGCAGGATTTGGGAAATTAAAATGGGTCCTAAAGAATAAGAAAATACAACAGTACTTAAAAACAAGGGTGTTTGACCAGTGCATACTCCCAATTCTCACATACGCATGCCAAACATGGACTCTGACCAAAGCAAACATGGATAAGATAGTGAAGACACAAAGAGCCATGGAGAGAGCAATGTTGGGAGTAAAATTAAAAGACAAGAAGCAAAACATCTGGATAAGAAACAAAACAAAAGTCAAAGACGCAGGTCAACATATAGCCAGGCTAAAATGGAGTTTCGCAGGTCATAACGCCAGACAAACAGACAATAGGTGGAACAACACGATACAACAATGGAGACCATGGACAGGAAAGAGAGCAAGAGGACGACCCCAGATGAGATGGGGAGATGACATTAGAAAGATAGGAGGAATACACTGGAAACAGAAAGCACAAAACAGAAGCGAATGGAGGAAACTGGGGGAAGCCTATGTTCAAAATTGGACGAATTAAAGGGCAAAAGAAGAAGAAGAAGAAGATGTCATTACACATTATGTTACAAACCCTTGTCTAATTTATTCTTCAGATTATTAACTTTCTAAATTCTAAATTGTATTATTTAAATCAGATATTGTAATACTTAACTTGATTTATTTTTAATAAAAAAAATAAAACATAATGTAGTGGGCATAGTGCTGTTTACCTCTTCAAGATCTTTTGTGTCATGATACTAGATGTTTATTAAAAATGCACTGTACAATGTTAAACTTTAATTTGTTTCTCCTTCATGATAAACATTACAGGGTAAAGTGTAAAACTGAATATTTATTTACATTTAATGACAAGGATACTGTTAGAATACCCTAAGAAACATAATGTATATCCCTCATGTATCAAAAACTTCCTCTTTATTATCTTCTGGGTAACTCTAGTCTTCATCACTAGCGTTGTTAGATGTAGGTAAATTTTTATTAAAATAATATCATACAGATAGTAAATATGGTAGCAGGAACATCAAGTCATCAAACTTTTGGCGAGAAATCGGTAATAAGTCATTAGTGATAGGCAGTAGAACTTCTGGCCATGTAATATTTTCTCTTCTAAATCGTATCATATCCAGTTCTTTGAAATTATTATCATCAAAAGAAATTAAAGAAAATATAGCTTTCCTATAGCCTCTCGACGAACTTGAAAATGAACACAGGCAGACACGTTCTTTTTCAGTGTCAAGTTTTTTTAAGACAAAAGGAGCTTTTTTTTTCACAGACACTGAGTTCAATTGCTTGAAGTCCTCACATTCCATATTGTGTACAGTGTATTTAGTAGATTCCACAATGAATCTACGTTCCTGTAGTTGGCTGTATACCATGTATTAAAAATTTAATTAAAAATCCTTTGTAATAGGTATATTTTAGGCCCAAACGGGCTAAGTTAAAAAGACAAAACGTTTTTGGAAACCATGTTCCATCATCAGTGTCTAGGAGTACATGAATGTAGCCACCAAGATTAAATATGTGGGTAAAAACCCGATTACAGATGTTTAATTACATTTAGTTTTAAAATAATGTTATAATGATTTAGGATTATAGAGTTACCGATGGATTAGGTAACATGGCGACATATGACTCCACGTTGAAGTTGCTAGTCCTGAGACGGTATGTCTTCGAGGACTGTATGAGTGCAACTCAGTGCAAACCAGTGGAACTTGGAACACACGGAACTTGGTTAGCTTCTTGACAATTTATTTTTCTTCTATTTATTTGTAATCTTCCTATAGCTATAACAACTTAAAAATGTTTTCATTTTTACATACACACACACATACATACACACACAACTCAATAATTATATATATTTTAGGTGTAATATGGGTGGGATATAAGCCGCTTCCAGGAACTGCCGAATGCGTACAGAGTCTTAAAAAAATTGGCAAAACTGTTTCTTTTGTCACCAATAATGGTACGATATCTACAGATAATATCTACAAACTTCTTCAAAACCACAAATTTAGTGTAGACTTAAAGGATATTGTAAATCCCATTACAGCGTATATAACTGTACTACATAAACTGGGTTTTGAGAAAACTGCTTTTGTGCTGGGTTCCAGTGAGTTACAAGAGGAGTTGAGAAAGGCTGGATTTAAAGTTGCACCAAATCCGGTAAGCATTGTACAAAATTTCTTGGTTTAATTTGCGCATATGTAGTAAAATAAATTTAAAAAAAGCTATATGCATTGTCCGTTGGATCTTAGTAAATATATCTACTCAATTTATTCATTTTTTTTATATTTAATTTATTGAATTTTGGAAACTTGTTATATTATGTGAATCATCTTTTGGAAAATTACTTTAAACTTTCCCTGGTAGGAAATATAATTTTGAAAGTCAGGTTTTAAAAGAAATGTTGATTGATATTGTAACGAATTTAATTATGTGTGAGAATGATTGAATTTAAAGAAAATTAAATTAAATATTCATATTTGGCGCCACTTTACTTTGTTGTTTAAATAATCGGATAACAAGTTAAATATTTCATCATTCTGTAATATTGTGTAATGTAAAGAAAAGTCTGTTCTGCAACCTTCCTAGATGTGGCACAGGCGTTTGATAAAGTCTGGCATAAGGGTTTGATACATAAACTTAAATCATTTATGCCTAAACAATATTCAAATATATTACAATCATATCTAGCGAACAGACATTTTAGAGTTAAACAAAAAGATGCATACACTGATCTCAAGGATATTGAAGCAGGTGTTCCACAAGGGAGTGTATTGGGTCCAGTCCTATACCTAATATACACGTGTGATATACCTGAACTAGAAGACGACACCTTAGCTACCTTCGCACCTTCGCATATGACACTGCTGTTTTAGCAGTAGGTGACACCATCGAAGAAGCTACGGAAAAACTACAAAATTCAATAAATAAAATCCATGAATGGACCAAAAAAAGCTGAATAAGAATAAATCAGTCCATACAAATTTTACCAATAAGAGAATTAATAATATTCCAATTATAATAAATGATGTCCAAGTGCCTATTACAACATCAGCAAAGTACTTGGGATCGCTCTTGATGCGAAGCTTCGCTGGAAAGGACACGTGAAGAAGAAAAGAGAAGAACTAGGCATCTGCTACAAGAACATGTATTGGTTGATGGGAAGGCATTCCTCTCTATCCATAAATAATAAACTCCTAATCTATAAACAAATACTGAGGCCAGTATGGACCTATGGCTGCCAACTCTAGGGCTGTGCCAAGCCTAGTAACATCAAGGTAATCCAGGTATTCCAGAATAAAGTGCTGAGGAACATCGTAGATGCGCCTTGGTATGTTAGGAACAACGATCTTCACCGGGACCTCAAGATGGAAGACGTCAATCAGATAATCAAGAAATTTGCAGGGAGCCATGAACAACGACTCCATTATCATATAAACGTCGAGGCTATCCAGCTCCTCGACAATACGAACCTAGAGAGAAGGCTCAAAAGGACAAAGCCTTTTGAACTGGTATAGTGAGTGAGTGAAAAGCAGAGCAAAGTGTTGTGCGAGTATGCATGCTAAATTTAATGCTAGTTATTAAAAATAATAGGAAATATACTAGTGAGTAGACACCTAATTTTAAGTTTTCATTAGTAATTTGAGTTAGAAACAAATTATTATTATTATTGATAATTGGTTTACTGACCAGATTTTAATGTAAGTACATTACGGTGTCTTTAGTAAAAAAAATTCTGTAATGTATAGTACGCAGCCATAATTTATAACAAACGAAAACTAGTTATCAACAACGAAAAATATAATAAACAGAAAGGAGTGTCTTTCTAACATAAATCAAGCATCAAAATAATAATTATTATTAATCATGATTCCCAAAATTAAATATAATTAAAATATTGTAATTACATATATACTTTTTTTTATTTAGTAAAAACCCTGCCTATTAGCGGAACGGTAATAATTAATTACACTTTACTTATTAAATTGCAACCTTTTAAAAACAAAAGTAGTTTATCAATATTGTTATTTGAGTTTAAAATGTCTTTAAGATTGTTTGGTAAATGGTATTTAATTCTATGGATATTGAACTTTTCGCACTTTTCTACTATCACATGTCTTACTGTAAGGGGTGAACCGCATTGATCACAAATTGGGCTTTCTTTTTTTTTTAACATATGTTCATGGGAAAACTGGGTATGTTCAAGTCGTAAATGGGAAATAATCATTTGCTTTCGTCTAGAGTCTAGATACATCGGGTGGTTGTCATGGTCTAATTTTATTTTTTATTTCCTGAAGCTTTGATGGTGTGGGTTTCCATTTATTGTCCCAGATCTCGAAAATATGTTTCATAAAGTAGCTTTTTAGATCCATACTAACAGATTGGAGAGATATTTGGGTACTGTTATCATTTATAGCTTCTATGGCATTTCGGTCAGATCATTACCTGCTATTCCAACGTGTTATGGGATCCAGAGAAACTTGATACTTATATCTTTGGTATGTTATTCATTTAGTTCTTCCTTTATTAGTGTACAACTAGCGGGAGTTATATCCCCTATTGTAACATCTGGAACTAGAGGGTGAGAAAATCTTCACCACTGTACAACGCTGTTACCACTGTAATATACTGGTAATGAACCTTAAAGGATGCTTATCCCTGCGAGCGGCTGCAAGGAATACTGGACCCACTAGTCTGGAGGGCTGGCTCGCCTTCGTGGATTTACGAGAAGGTAAGGAACTTCGGAATAGGGGTTAAGGACTTCTAGGTCTCAGGTCCTGTAAAGAGTTTGAGTCTATGGGCTTACTTTAGAAGCCGGATAAATGTATAAGCCGAAATTTGGTACTCTTCTGGTCTCTGTCTGAATCGGTCGGAAGGAACATAAAACCAATTTTAGAGTCTACAAATGTATTGAATATACTATGTGGTTTACAATTAAGTTAACAAACTGTCAGATATAAGTAATAATAACTCGTTCGGCGCGAAGGGAGACGAGAAGAGATCTTAACAAGAAAGTAAAGGAGTGACAATATGTAATACTATAATATACTCTTTATTATATAGTATATAGAATTTTGTTACCTTTCGCGTATTTAGGCTCTAGCTAATGATACGCTCTTCCGTTCCTCCGGAAATCGGATTTCTTTCAGTACCCGACACTTATACGGAACTATACCCCGTCGAAATATAACAATCGCGCGTAATCCGCACCTGGTGCCGACTCTCGTATTCACCACCCTGCCCGAAGACACCGACTGCCTGGACGTACGGGACGCTATCGCGTCCGACCCGATGCCGGCAATACTGCCTGAGCGGCCAGTCACGGTGCCCCGCTATTACTGACTGCCCGACTTCCCTGTTCTTCTTGTTTTTATTGAGCTCGTATTTTCAATGCCGGTTATAGTGCCAAGGTCGTGTTTTCGCTGAGTTGTAAGTCCTATGCGTTATTTGGGTCACAAGCGGTGTTATTTTTACAACAATAGTTTCTGTTTGACGTGCTTTGTCTACGTTTAAACAATTATCAAACAATGCACTAACTAGGTCAATTTCTTTGTGTAATTTAAAATGTATACTTTACTGTATTAATTATCCCTTATTTGATTTGGAATATATAATAATCATTAAAATAATTATTATTCTCCCCTATGCTACAAACCTTTATTTTAATCTTTACTTTCTTGCTATGTTTACATTACATTAGTAAAGCTAATGGATGCTGGGTATATATTTTCTTGATTGGGTGTAGTGATGACATAGAATCTGTCACGATTAACAATTTGTTCACCTTATTCACATTTCCATGTACCTAGTAATGCTTGGTAGAATTACTACTACTAGGTTGCGGTATCTGGAATTCTATGTTTGAGAATATCTGTGTTGTTAATTATTGCCACACTGACTCCATTTTCAGTTTTAGACGCGTCTGTGTAGTATACTGTGTAATCGGAATGAGAGTTAATTAAATCTCTGAAGTGTTGTATGATAAAATTGGGGTTAGTGCTATTTTTTGGACTTGTAATAGACTACAGTTGAGTTTTGGAATTTTTACAGTCCAAGGTGGACATGAAGATATATTTTTCTATTGATATAAGGGTGGAAATTACTTCCAGTTAAGTAGTTTTATTGCATGATGGATTTTTTGGAAATATGAAAGATTGAAATTTGACGAGTCATTCATCATGGATATGTTTAAAATGTTATTTATTGGAATTCTTTTATTTACATGTATGTTAGAAACGTAGTTTAGGGTTACCAGCTGTCTAAGGAGCTTTAGCGTGGGTTCACCTATTTCAGCTTGTATGCTATTTATCGGAGTTGTTCTATATGCCGCAATTAGAATCCTTAGGGAGGTGTTATGTAACGTATCCAAAGGTTTTAACGTTGTTTTGCTGGCAGATCCATATGTTACATATCCGTAATCCGTCTTGGAACAAATTAAGGATGTATATAATATGAGCAGTATTTAAACAGTGAACAGAGAACAGTGTAGAAAGAACTAACTGCTTAATATGACTTTTCCAATTTAACTGTTGATCAAATATCATTCCTAGGAATTTTATTTCGTTTGTATAGGAAAGATTGTGATTCTCAAGAGTGAGGTTTGGTTTATCCTCTACATATTTCTTTGAAAATAGTATACATTTTGTTTTATTGGAACAAAAACTGAAACCAGACCTTAGGGACCAATTTACTAGTTTATTTAAGTGTTCTTGTAATATTGACGCCATATTATTAACGTGCTTATGTAGACCAAAATATTTCCTTAATATCCCATCTTTTTTAGAATGTTCAATATACGGTGTTTCCATACGGTGTCAAATGCTTTAGTTATGTCAAAGTAAATCGTCATACATTTTTGGTTATTTTTAAAAGGTTCGTGAATAGCGTTTTCCAGATCGATAATGTTGTCGTTTGTAGATTTGCCTGGTCTAAATCCAGCTTGTTCGATGATAAGTTGATCATTGTGTTCCAAGGTAAACATTATTTTTTTGTTAACTATTTTTTAATAAGTTTACATGAGGAATATGTTAATGAGATAGGACGATATGAATCTGGGTGTAATTTATCTTTATTTGCTTTGATAATCGGTATAACGATGGTATTTTTTCAGATTTTTGGGAATGATTTTTGTGACCAAATAATATTAAAAATTTTGGGCAGAAACTCTTTTGCTACTATGGGATGTTTTTTAATAAATTGTATTGGTATGCCATCTGGACCTGGTGTAGTGTCTTTCATGCTATTAAGTGCTTTTTGAAACTCCCCATAACTAAGGGGTGTATTGATTGGGTTGAAATCGTCAGAGATTGTAATAGGTACTGCCTCCTTCTCTTGTTTGTAAGTTAGGAATTCGTTACTGTAAATTTGGCTGGATGAAAATTTTTGATAGGTATTAGCTAGTTCATTTACTATATCCTATAGGTCAGTTAGTATCGTTCTTTCTTTCTTTAGACTTACAATTTGTTGGTAGGTGTGCTGTCCTGTTATTTTTTAACTTTTTTCCAAACGGATGATATATCTGTACTACTGTTTATGCTAGATATTGTATTTATGCCATGAATCTTGTTTGCTTTTTTATGATTCTTCTGGTTTCAGCTCTACATTTTTTGTACTCTGTTAATACATCAATACTTTTGTACTTTTTGTATCGGTTCCAAATTGTCTTACTTAATTTAATAACGACCTCACAATGTGTATTCCACCAGGGAACTGGTTTGTGTTTTTTTTAAGTTGAGATTTTCCTATGGTTATATTAGCAGCATCAAGTATAGATTAAAGCACGTGAGTGTGTCATCAATGGAGTCTGAAATTTTAATGTGATCATTCTATCTGATACAATTTTCTCAAATTCAATCCAATTTGCCATTTTTAGTTTCCATTTTTGAGTTGGTATTGTGTTTGTGTTTAAATTATCGTTATGATTTATTAAGATTGGGAAGTGGTCACTACTATATAAATCTTCCACTGCTACCCAATCGAGTTGGGTGAGCAACGAAGATTCACATATTGTGAGATCATGAGCGAAAAATGTTCCCAGATCCATATTGAATCTTGTTGGAGAGCCGTCGTTGAGTAGGCATAGGTTCATAGGGTTAATAACGTTTTCTAACTAATTCCTTCTAGGTGTTGTTTTATTTGATCCCCATTTAATGTTATGGCCATTAAAATTTCCCATGATTATTCGAGGTGAGGGAATTTGTTGGAGAAGATTAAGTAATTCGTATTTAGTTAGTGTTTGATCTGGTGAAATATAGATGCTACAAATATTAAACTTTAGTGGGGCCAGTACCGTTAAGGCTACTGCTTCGATATTAGTTATGAGGTTTATTTTTTGGACAGGTATATTTGACTTTATATATCTAGAGCTACTCCTCCACTTGCACTAGTTTTTCTAGCTTTTTGCGTAGTCGTGTGATTAGGTTTTTTTTAATTCTGTTAGTGATGTTAAATCTGGTGTATAATCCTTAAAAATATTATAAACGTCTTTAGCTTCGTATGTCTCATTTACTAAATCCCGAAATTGATCGTAGTTTAAGACATATGATTCTGAATGTTGATTGCATATATACTTTTCTTCTTCTTCTTACGGTGCCGTATCTTTAAGGACGTTGGCCGTTACATTTGCCTATTTATCTTATTTGTAGCAGCCCTGAGTAGTTTTATGGAGGTCATGTTCGTCCATAGCCGTATGTTTTTAAGCCAAGAGTTGCGTCTTCTTCCTGGTCCTCTTTTTCTATTGACTTTGCTTTCGATTATAAGTTGGAGCAGTTCATACTTTTGATTTCTTATGATGTGACCAAAATATTGTGTTTTCCGTTCTTTTATTATAAGCATAAGCTCTCTTTCCTTATTCATCGTCCGCAAGACTTCCGCATTTGTCGTATGGCTCATGACATTATGAACATTTTACAATAACACGAGAGTTCGAATGCTTGGATTCTTTTTTTGTGTTGCTTCTGTCATTGTCCAAGCTTCAATACCATAGAGCAAGGTGAAGAAAACATAGCACTTAAGTATTCTAGTTCTCAATGAGATGCCCAGCTGGCGGTTACATAGAACTTTTTGTATTTTGTAAAACATTATACGTGCTTTTTCCAGGCGTATTCTTATCTCTAGTGAGTGGTCCCAAGTTTCATCAAGATTACTTCAAAGGTACGTTGTTCTTGTTACTCTTTCCAGATCTGTTCCGTCGACATTGACCTTCACCCTTCTTTTTTGGTGCTTGCTGATGACCATCGTTTTAGTCTTCTTTGTATTAAATTTTATTCCAAATTCTCTACAGGCTGTCGTTACTCGGTCCATTAAGCGTTGCAGGGCTTTAGCATTATCTGCCAGTATGACAGTGTCATCAGCATATCACATGTTATTTATACATTGCCCGGTTATAATTATACCATCCGAGGTGCCTTCCAAAGATCTCTGAAATATCTTCTCAGAGTAAACATTGAACAGCAAAGGTGATAGGACACATTCCTGTCTTACTCCCCTCTCGATATTGATTGTTCTAGATGTTTCGCTTTTTATTCTGATTTAAGCCTTTTGTTCTTGGTAGAGGTTTGAAATGATCCTTAAGTCTTTATCGTCGATGTTACATGACCTTAAAATATCTATTAGTTTATCATGTTTCACCAGGTCAAACGCCTTCTGAAAGTCTATAAAACACAAGTATACATCAGAATCGACATCTCTACATCTTTCAACTAGCACACATATTGAAAAAAGTGCTTCTCTTGTTCCGAACCCATTCTTCAAACCAAATTGAGTTAACCAGTGTGTTCGTCTAGTTTATTGTATACTCTATTGTGTATTACTCGTAGGAAAAACTTCAACATATGATTCATCAAACTAATAATCCTATGGTCTTCACATTTCTTGGAGTTTATTTTCTTTGGTAGTGGTATAAACACCGATGTCAGCCAATCATTTGGTATTATGCCTGTTACGCTTGTTTATATTTTGTTAAATATATCTTCCATTACTTTGATGTGTTCGTCTACTAATATCTTTATTACTTCAATTGGGATATTCTCTTCCCCAACAGCTTTTCCGTTCTTTATCTGATTTGCCGCTTTAATAATTTCTTGCTTTGTGATATAAGGTCCAGTCGATGCCTCCTGCATGTAAATGTTCGCCCTCTCTCGGTCTTGAAACATCTCTTCCACGTATCCTTTCCATCTACCTATTTGATCTTCTATGTTCAGTAGCAGGTTCCCATGTTTATCTTTGATAAATGACGTAGAAGTTTGTTTAAATATTCCAGCGGCTTCTTTTACTTTTTTATGTAGATTGAAAGTATCATGTCTTTGTTCCAACTCTTTAATTTCTTGGAATCTTTCACTTAGCCAGGATTCTTTGGCTTGTTGGATCTTTATTCTGATATTCTTGTGTGTTTGTTTGTATGTTGTTTCATTTTTACCTCTGTATTTTCTTCTTTCGTCCATCATGTTTAGAATTTCTTCTGTCATCCATGGTTTGTTCTTTTTTCGTGTATCTTGTTTGAGGTAATCTTCTGTTACTCTTGTAAGTGTTTTCTCAATATAGTGTCAGTCTTCCTCCGGAGTTTGTGTCGATTGTACTGTTCTGTTACTCAAGTGTCTATGTATTTCTTCCCGTATTTTATTACTAGTGGATTCTTCTTTAAGCTTATCTGGGTTTATAGCTATTATTTGCTTATTTCGTTTTGTTCTTTTACTTTTACTTTGTTCTATACTTTTACTAAGTTAAATTTAATGTTTTGTGAAATTCAAAATTTAATCGATTTTTGTGTTTGTTTTATACAATTTTTTTAAATTTTAATTTCATTGTATTTACTAATATAATAATTATAACCATATTTTAGCATATCCTGAAGAAGCAAATAAATTTTGCGAAAGCTAGATAAAAGAACAAAGAGTTTTACTTTTTCTGCCTTATTAATGACTGCAACCTAAAAATAAAATTTTGTTTACATAACGTGTCAGTCAATAATACCCAACTACTTTATATATAAAGTGATTTATTTTTAATTTACATATTTACCACCACCGACGACTCTCAGGGGGCATAAGGTGTCACCAGCTAAAAAAGAAGATATTTACCACACTTACATTAAAATACATTTTTATTATCTATAGAAATAAGATTATTTTTATAAATAAACCTTATACAAAAATAATTTTAATATTTTTGTTACTTTTAGCCACATCCTGTTGGTGAAAATATTTCCGAGGTTTCAAAACAGCTTGAAGATGATAAAGAAATAGGAGCAGTAATTATCGACTATGATATAAATTTAAGTATGATGAAGCTTCAAAAAGCACTAATATACCTAAGAAGAAGCGACTGTTATTTTATTATTGGCGCTAGTGATAAATCAGTTCCTTTTCCTCAATATGGGTCATTATTAGGTAAAAGATAAAAATTAAATTTATACTTCTATGAACTAGTTATACGTAGCCAAGTACATACATAAAACTGTAGTATAAGATCTGCTATATACTGGTTATTTTCTTCTTCAGGTGCTTTATCGTTTAAGAACCTTGGCGATCAAAATTTGCAGTCCTTCTCTGCTATCCACAAAGGGTATTGTCATCATCATCAGTAGTTCGACAACCCTTTCTAGGTCCTGGCTTGTTCTAGGATTTTCCGCCATTCTGTTCTGTTCTTTGCTTTGTTTTTTCAGTTGGTAATCTTAAGTGTTTTCAGATCTTGTTCCACTTGTTCCATGTATCTAAGTTTGGGTCTTACCTTTGACCTTCTCCCCACTGGTGTTTGCCTCATTATATGTTTTGGCGTTTCAGTCTCCAACATCCGTTGAACATGGCCCATCCAGCGCAGACGTCCGATCTTTATGGATATTACGATCTCGGGTTCATTGTATGCTGTGTATAGTTCAAAGTTATATCTTCTGCGCCATATGTCATTTTCCTTTACCCCCTTATCTATGTGTCTGAGGATTTTTCGTTCAAATGTACCTAATAGGTTCTCATCGCTTTTCGACAGTGTCCACGTCTCTGATCCATATACAAGGACCGGTTTTATCAGGGTCTAGTATATTTTGCATTTGCATATTTTTTGCATGTTTAATTAGTCCATCATATGTTTTATTGGCGATATGTGTTCTTCTCTTAACTTCTTGATATTTTTTTTCTGTAACTAGTGAACCTAGATATGTCAAACTTTTCACGCTTTCGATGTCATAGTCTCGTATTGTCAGATTCTGTAGGTTTCTTTGGCCTGTCGATTTACTGGCCTTCATGTATTTGGTTTTTATTTCGTTAATGTTTAGGCCACTGTTTTGTGCCGCTCTTTCTATCGCATTAAATGCTTCTATCATCTCTCTTTCGCGTCTAGCTATGGTATCAACATCATCTGCAAATGCCAATATTTGTACACTTTTTGTTATTATTGTTCCTCTGGTGTTGACTTTTGACTCCCTAATTATTTTATCTAATGTGATGTTAAATAGAATACAGCATAGGGCATCTCTCTGTCGTAGGCCCGTTCTCACATGGATTGTATCTGTTAGTTCGTTTTGAATTCGAATTTTGCTTTGTAGTTTAAGTGTTTCTTTTACTATATCAATGAGTTAAGTTGGTATATTAAACTATATCAGTGCAAGGATCAGAAACTCTTGATGAATGCTATCATAGGCACCCTCAAAGTCAATGAAAAGATGATGTGTGTCTATATTAAATTCACTAGTCTTTTCTAAGATTTGCCTCAAGATGAAGATCTCATCGATTGTGGACTTCTGCCTGTGGAAACCACATTGATATCCCCCAACTATTTGTTCCGCATATGGTCTCAATCGATCATACACAATGTTTGACAGTATTTTATATGCCACAGTCAGTAGCGTTATTTTCCGGTAGTTTTTGCATTGAAGCTGATCTCCCTTTTTATGTAGTGGGATAATTACTCCGGTATTCCAGTCTTGTGGCAGTTGTTTATTATTCCAGTTATACAGTTGTAATAGTTTATGTTCACTATTAGTACGTGTATCGCATTCAATAGGGAGTCTCCACCTTCCTTTTTTAATTCTGCGCTAATGTTGTCTAATCTAGATGACTTGTTGTTTTTCAGTCTGGTAACTGCTTCTTGCATTTCAGCTACAGAAGAGGGGTTGTTTTTCTGGTATCTATTTGATCCAGTATAATTCCATCATATAGGAATCTTCGTTTCTTTCAAACTTTTTTTTGAAGAATTCTGTCCATCTTTGTAGTATTTCACTCTGTTGAGTTACTATATCTCCTTCTCGGTCTCTACACATCATTGTTCTTGGTTTAAATTCTTTTCTACTTTTGTTAAGTTTTTGCTAGAATTTTTTGTTTTCTGATGGTTTATTTAGTTCTTCAATTTCTTGGAGTTCTTTTTCTATGTGTTTTCTTTTCTTTCTGCGATGTATTTTTTTCTCTTCCCTTCTTAGCATTCTATATTCCTCCTCTGCCTTTCGTGTTCTACGTCATTGTTGTAGTCGTTGATATGCATTATTTTTCCTCTATGTTATATTACGACACTCTTCATCGAACCACTGTCCTTCAGTTGATTTGGGCTTTTTTGTAGACCCAGAGTTTCTTTGGGCGCGTCTTGTATGATGTTTTTACACGCTTCCCATTCTCTGTTTATATCCTCGTGCTTGTGTCTATTTTCTAGTCTTCCTTTTATATATTCTTTGTATTTTGCATTTTTGCTGTTGTCTGTTAAGTTTTTTATTTAATATTTTTTAATTTTGGATCCCCTTTCTTTTTTAATGTTTGAGATTCTGGCTCTTATTCTACTTTCCACTAGGTAGTGATCCGAGTCTGCATTTGCCCCTCTTCTGCTGCATACGTTTATTACATCTGAGTGATATCTAGAGTCAATATTAACATGATCGATCATGTTTACTGTGACCCCATCTGGAGATCTCCACGTTCCCTAATGAATATTTTTTCGCTGGAAGCATGTGCTGGCAATGACCATGTTAAGGGAACTTGCTAGATTTATTAGTCTGATGCCATTGTCATTGGATACCTTATGAAGGCTGTGCTTACCTATAGTTGGTAGGTATTGTTGCTCTTTTCCTATTTTTGCGTTGAGATCACCAGAAATAATTTTGATGTCATTCTTTGGGCATGAATGGTATGCAGCTTCTAGTTCTTCATAGAATTTTTTCTTGACATCGTCTTCCTCTTCCTCTGTAGAGGCATGCACATTTAAGATGCTATAATTAAAAAATGTTCCCCTTAGTTTCAGGATGCACATTCTAGAGTTCATAGCACGAAAGTCCCTTACGATGTGTTTAACCTTTTCATTTACAATGAAGGCAGTACCTAGAGCGTGGTCTTTAGCGTCGCAACTATAGAATATAATGTGGCGTCTTTTTTCAATGGTGCGACTCCCGGTCCATCTCATTATTTCCTGCAGAGCTGATATATATATATATATATATATATATATATATATATATATATATATATATATATCTATTTCATATCTATTCAGTTCACCGAGCAGATTTTTAAGGGCTCCTGATCTGTATAGGGATAGGATGTTCCATGTCGCGATTCTTAAATCATGTACCTTTTTTTGCACAGTCGTCGTCGTTTGATCAGTCTGGTTTTCTTTTCTTGAACATTCGTAACATGTGTGTTTTCTAGGATAGGATTGTTAGCCCTATGCTAACCCCCTTTTCGGAGGACCATTTCTCCCTTCCTCGTCGACCCTGACCCTACTTTTCACTTAGGTTGGTTACCCAATCTTCGGTAGGGTTGCTCAGGTTTGCCAGAGTCTACCCGTGTGATTAAGTCACACTTCTTGGAGGTGAGGATAGGAATTGAGTAGGAGTGGCTAGAGGTGTTATCAGAAAGCAACACCTTATATTCTTGGCTAGGAGATTTGTTATAAGTTTAGTTTTCTCAAAGTTTATCTTTAATCCTGCTCTTTCAGACAGACTTTTAAGCAAATGCATTATAGAAACTGTATCATGTAAGTTATCTGCAAATAATACATCATCTGCAAACCTTAGGTGATTTAATCTTTCTCCCTCTATATTGATGCCCATATCCTGCCATGAGTGCTCTTAAATATTGACTCTAGAGCTGCCGTGAACAATTTTGGTGAAATATTGTTTCCTTGTCTAACTCCTCGACCTAAGCTGAATTCCTCCTTTTCTGTGTCTTCGTGTAGTCGTATACTTGATGTAGCGTTCTCATAGATGTTTTTGATTAGTGTCGTGTACCTGTAATCTACTCGGCTTTGTTTTAGGGCTTCCAATATTGTTTCAAACTCTACAGAATCAAAAGCCTTCTCGTAATCGACAAATGCGACCAGTGGTATGTTGTACTCGATGCACTTTTCTATTAAAATCTTAATGGTATGCAAATGGTCATTTGTGCCATATCCTGCCCTGAAACCTGCCTGTTCTTTCTTCTTCTTCATGTACCATGTCCTTTCAGAACATTGGTTACCATAATAGCTATTTTAATTTTATTCACTGCCACCCTAAAAGCATGCTTGTATCTACACCATATAAATCTCGCAAGTTCTTCAACCATGAGGTTCTTCTTCGTCCTGGACTGCGTTTGCCTGCTATTTTTCCTTGCATGCTATTTTGTAGCAATCTATATTTGGGACATCTCATTACATGTCCGAAATATTCCAGCTTTCTCTGCTTGATGCTTTTTATGATCTCAGTAGTCTTGCTGAGACGTTCTAGTAATGTGGAGTTACGAATCTTCTCTACCCAGGAAACTTTTAAAATTTTTCTACAGCACCACATTTCGAAAGCCTCAAGGCGATTTAGATCGATTTTATTCACAGTCCAGGACTCGACAGCATAAAGTAAGACCGAGAACACGTAGCAGCGAAGTAGGCGGACCCTTAATGCCAATTTTAGGTCTCTGTTACATAACACCTTGGACATCCTTCTAAAAGCAGCTTTAGCCTGCTCTATTCTGGATCTAATTTCGCCGTGATTTTCTGCATTACAATTTAATTGCTGTCCAAGGTAGACGATTTTATCAACTTGCTCAAGTTTGGTATTATTTACATATATAGACGGTTTTATATTCTGTTGTTTACTTATTACGAGTATTTTGGTTTTCCTTATGTTAAGATCCAGACCTGCCTCTTTACAACTCTCAACGACACTATCAAGTAGTGTTTGCAGATCTTCTTGACTAGACGCTAGGAGTACTGTATCGTCCACATATCGCAAATTATTGATGACTTCGCCGTTCACAAGTATTCCTTCTTGTTTTTTAGAAAGTGCTTTTCTGAAAATTCTTTCGGAGTAAACGTTAAAAAGCAGGGGTGACAAGAGGCATCCCTGCCGTACTCCTCTTTTAATATTGAGAGCTTGTGATTCCACACCATTTACTAAAACTGATGTTGTTTGATTCCAATATAAATTTGCAATTATTCGAACATCTCTGCCGTCCAAGCCAATGTCTTTTAGAGCTTCGATCAATATAGAGTGCTTAACACGATCAAATGCCTTTTGAAAGTCAATAAAACAACAGTATATGTCTACAGATATATCACGACATCTTTGAGCAAGTACGTTCATTCCAAACAGTGCCTCTCTCGTTCCAAATCCGTTACGGAAACCAAACTGAGTGTCATCCAGGTATTCCTCACATTTATTGTAGATACGACCATGTATTACCTGTTATTGCCTGTTATTGCCTGTTCTTTGGGCTGATAGAAATCAAGTTTAAATGTTAGTGTCTTTGTTAAGATTTTCATAAAGAGTTTGTATATATGTGTCAAGAGGCTAATGGGTTTATAATTTTCTAATTTAGTAATATCGCCTTTTTTGTGTAACAAGACTACTACTGCATTGTTCCAGTATTTTGGAATCGTACCCGCATATAAGCATTTATTACACACTTCGCTTACTGATTTTAATAAAATTTCTCCTCCTGCTTTTATTGCCTCGATAACGAGTCCATCATGACCAGGCGATCGATAGTTCTTCATTTCCTTTAAAGCTGCTCTTACTTCTGACGCAGTAATGGGTAAAAGTATTTCCGATCCCTGATTTATTAGAGTCTTTACTCGTGTCGGGAAATTGTCTTGTAGTCTGTGGCTGGTATAGAGGTCTTTATAAAACTCTCTGGTTATTTTCAGAATGTTTTGTTTATCTGTTGTTGCCTTTTCGTCTTTATCTCTAAGCTTGTATATTTCTTTTTTAGTTTGTGTGAGTTTTCTTTTCATTATCTTTAAACCTTTGATCTCTTCTACTGTTTGAGTAATTACGTTAGTATTATACCTTCTTACATCTTTTCTAATTTCCGCTGAAATTCTTTTATTTAGTTTTTTATATTCTTCTTTGTTTCCATTTTCGTTCTCGCTTAGGTTTCGTCCTATTTCCATAAGAGCTTTAGTATCTTTGCTAATATTTTCCTTTTGGTGTTATTTTTCTTGCAAAATTTGAGTTGTGCGTTTCTACCAGAGTCTGTTATTAATTTATTGTGATTTTCGATACTTTGAGGTTTGGGATTATTACTCTGTAAAGTTTCGGCTATATTTTTTATGTATGCTTCTGGATGATTTGGTGAATTACAAACTATGCGTTTGCAACTGTTTATCATCTTTGGTCTTTCATTTTGTAGATTTATCGTTACTCTAGCTCTTACTGGTCTGTGGTCGCTTCCTAGTGATAGTTTATTAAGTACAGTGATATATTGAATAATTTGCTTTTTGTCTGTTATTATATAATCATATTCGCTCTTAGTTCTTCCGTCTGGACTAGCCCACGTCCATTTTCTATTCTGTCTCTTAAAAAAGGTGTTCATTGCATACCATTTGTGTTGCAGTAGAAAGTTGGTAAGTATTTCGCCTCTTTCGTTTCTTACTCCGATTCCAAAATCTCCGATTGCCACTTGCCAACCTGTACTCCGTACTCCCTGTACCTTATAGTGGGATAATACTTAATATATAACAGCTAAGCATATTTAGCGTATTTTTTTATTCGTTTACTGTGCAATCAGTCAAAAAGAAACCATAAACGCATTTGTTGACTTTATATCATTGGTGCAAAGGAAAATATTTTAATAAATATTTACTCTACATGAATATCACAACTATTGATTATTAATTCAAGAATGGTAAATCTAATGGTAATTTTTACTTCAGGCGTCTCGTTTGTTGACTATTGTCTAATAATTTTGACGCTAACATATTTAGGTGGTTCTGTAATCTAAGTTGTAAATATTTATCACTATGACATAGTCACATTGTGACACTATCACTTCACACACAGTTGTCACTTGAAGGTCTTATAGTATATCTTTGTTGCTTACAAACCATGGCGCATCAGTTATTGCTCGTAATGACTTGTTTTGAAATCGGTCCAATCGGTTGGATTTTGAAGCAGTGCCTCACACCTCTATTCCATACGTCCAAATTGACTTCAGTATGGCATCGTACGCTAGTAGTTTGTTTCGCAATGACAACTGGGACTTTTTTTCAAATAACCAATCATATTTTCTATATGTGTTATCAGGATGTTTTCTTTTTTTCCATATATGAGTTTTCCAGATGAGTCTCTTGTCCATATGTAAGCCTGAGTAATTTACCGTATCTACTGTAATACTATGTGGCTTAACTTTATTGATTCTTAGTCCAATGTTTACTTAAGTTTTCTTGGCGTTGTTCTGTTGAAACAACGGAATATGAATGTACCGCCATTGGCCATTACTGCAATGTCGTCCACAAATGTGACTATATGTACTTTATTGTCAGTCCCATGGACGTATGTCCATGGTCAGTCCAAAATCAGTTAGCTCCAAATCGGAGCTAAATAGTAGGTAAAGGATCGACCGAAGAACACCACCTTGAGGAACGCCTGCCTGTATGAGATATAGACCAATTATTTGGTCTTCATATTTTACCTGATACAATATTAATAAGGGTTATTGGTTTATTTAGGATCAATTTTATGAAGATATATCGAAAAATATTTTTTATATTGGCAATACTATGTTTACAACAAGTCTACTGTTTTAGGTAATTATTACTTTATTAAAAGTTTAGAAGATCTGAGCGGAAGAAAACCTCTTCATATGGCTAAACCATCATCAGATTTTACTAACTTTATAATGGAACAGTTTGATTTTCCAAATCCCAAAAGGGTTTTATTTATAGGAGATTCGTAAGTAATTTTTCATATTAATAATGTTAAGCTAAGTTAATAATGTTAAGCTTTAATATTAGGTGATAGATAAAAATTCCAGATTTCAACTTTTAAACGCTTTTTGTATGCCTACTACAACTTTGTTAAATTCTTCGGTTTTACTTAATAAACAAACTATTATGATTTTCGATTTACTATATTTACTACAAGATAAGAAAAAAAAATTTATGATAAATAATTTGCAATATTCATTACGAAATCTCACCTGAAATATTGTCAAATATACAGTTTTCTTCTTCTTCTTCGCGTGCCATATCAGAATTATCCGACGTTGGCGATCACCATTGCGAAAGCTTCTCGATCTTCTGCAATATGGAATATTTGTCCCGCATTTGATATTCATGTTCCTTAACCAAGAAACCCGTTTCCTTCCTACACCTCTACGGCCCTATATTTTGCCTTTAAGGATCAGTTGTAATATTTTATATTAACTTTCCATTACTATATGCAGTTTTATTAATTAAAAATCATATGAGCACTTCACTGAACTTTTATAAAATTTAAATAGAAATCTCTTAAAAATATTTTGTAAAACTGTCTATTTGATTCTTGTGTACTCATGAAGATATCATACAGTTGTAAAATAGAAATCTAATCCTTAAAATTAAAAAAATGATACTCTCAATTCTCAATAAATATTCGCAGCGGTATATTCGATTAGAAAAAAAGATGCAAAAGATTGCAACGTTCTTTATACGTAAATTTTAAAAACGGCCGGAAAAACACAGCATCCATTGAATAATGAAAATTCCTGACAAAAGTAAATCTATCCAAAGTAAAACAGTCCTTGTCAAAAGTCTGAGCCCCAATGCGAATAAATCGTTTACGATAGGTAATCACCAATACACGTCGATTTTTGATTGAGCATTAAAAATTACTTGGGACCAATCTTTACCTACCAAGAAAGTCTAGATATTGTCTACGTGAGTCTTGCTTGCATTTGTTTTGGTGGTAATATTGGCTTTTCCTTTGTCTATAAGAAAATATACTTTTTAAAACTAAGTACGCTTTCAAATTGTTACCTGTATTTTAATCTTATAACACTTTAATCCAGTTTTATGTATATACTTGCGAATACATTCGCTTGACAAATTTAATCCAGTTTCATGATTTCATTCAACCAAATATAGAAAAAGAATAAGTAGTCATAATAAAAGAAGAAGAAACATCTGCAGAAACATGGCCATTAGCAAAACTAAGAGACATCCGCACGGGTTCTGAAGGTTGACAAGAGTGGTGACACTAAAAAAGGCAAATGGGAAAATAATAAAATGACCAATACATAAATTAAGAAGGCTCGATGAAGAAAATCATGCAAGTACAAAAAATATCCCAATAATACGGTGGAAACAAGTACTAAAATCAATAATGTTTTTAACCTTATTGTGGCTCTTGAATGCAGAATTATATATAATATGTATACACGCGATCCCGGTTTATTTACTGAAACACTAGGAGATGTATTTGTAAACCGGGCAACCATTAGAATAAAGATCCTATTTGAAAAACAGCGAATTCAAGAAGATATATTTAAGTGAGCCATGTGCATAGACAACCAAATATACACTGAATAATTGACACTGTATTTTAATGACAGAAGAATGCATTTCAACAGAAAGTGATATTTGAATAATAATTACGGATGTAAAATAGTATTATGTATTTTTTTAAGATGTTTACTTTAAATATAAGTGTATATTCTGATCTGAGAAGCCTAAATGTTCATAAAATTCTCGATAGAAGGGTAAAGTATTTTCTAGGAAACGTCAATATAATAAACTTAACCCTATTTGTGAGGTAGACTATTCCAGAAAATTGATATATCTAGAAAATATAAAATTAGAACATGGTTTGTTGCTGGAATATTCGGGAACGATGAAAAGATATAAATACGATGTAATTTTGAGTAAGGATTCATTAACACAGTATTCATTAGACAGTTAGAATAACAGTATGAGAGTTGGGATTAGACAGTAAGACAGTGCATTGATTAGACAGTTCAAGATAGTTAACAGTTACAGTAAGACAATATGGAGTTAGTTAATTAAGAAGTTAAACAGGAGACAGTTCGACAGTTAGTTAATAAATTTATTAAGAAGTTAGTTGATCAGTAAATAGTACAAGCAGATAGTATACAACGTTTTATAGTATTTGAAAGTATATTTGAAAGTATATTAAAATTATAATATCCATATGGTGATTGGAGATTATTAAAGAAGAAAAAATAAGATTATAAGTAAGAAGCAAAGAAGAAACAATAAATAAAGAAAAATATTTTAATAGACATTTATAAACGCTATGAAGAAGAAAAATATTTTAAATTGATAGAAGCTGATAATTAAAACATTCTGGTATATTTGGCAAAAGCAATTTAACAAAAACAAGGATAACCAAGGCTCATAAAGAAGATATTGAGTGGTGATTATACCTCTTATTTTGGATAATAGTTTCATTTAGGCATTCAGTGATAGAAAGGTACCAAATTTTGTTAATATAATTTAATTATTGAAATAATTTCAAATTTGAGATAGTTTGTTCTAAATTTATATTGTCTATGTTAGATATATATGTGTTTTTCATAATAGTTATAATAAAGATAATTTAAAAAGTACTTACAAACTAATTCTTTTTAAATTATTCAATTGCTCACACACAAACAAAACATCATAGCAATATATATAGAGGAGAAGGTGGTAATATGGCCCCTGCATATTTTATGGCCCCCCTCCGTATTTTAATAACAAAGTGCTGAAATCTAGTGGAGAACGCTGGAACTAGTTCACTAGTATACCAACTGGCCGGTAGGAGCGCTGTGAGCCATTAAATGCAGTCACTCAGTAATTGTGCAGTAGTTTGTGTTTTGGTCAATCTTCAAAACTTTGAAAGGTATGTAAATTTCTTGATTTTAACTTACCATAACTAATAATAACTTAGTTCTAAGTATCGTGCATATGAATTAGAGGTTATTACCTACAGTTTAACACAGACTAGAATGTTCTAAGTCTTTTACATTTTATCTTGTAACCACGTGTTTTAAACTTGGAGATGTGTGTATTATGGCTCCCCTAGGTAATGGTAATATGGACCCCGGGGTCCATATTACAAGCAGTTTCAATATTTGTGGTTTTTTTTATTTTTCAGATGCCTAGAATCAGCTTAACACCTAAACCAGCCAGAAAAAGGCAAATTTGGGACAAGGACAAAATGAAAGAAGCAGTAGCAGCTGTCACTGAAAAGAAAATGGGTGTCAAAAAGGCTTCTAAACATTTTGATGTGCCTAAGACCACTTTAAGAAGATATTTTAAAGAGGCAAGTACATCTGAAGCCATAGAAGTTCACACAAAAAAGCTAGGTAGGAAACCAGCTATACCTGAAGAACTGGAAAATGAACTAGTGGAGTACCTGAAGTATATGGAGGCAAAATTTTACGGGTTCACTCGCCTGGATGTTCGTCGAATGGCTTACCAACTAGCAATTAGAAATTGGATTCAAACCAACTTTAGAAACGAAATTGCTGGCAGGGCTTGGTTGGACCATTTCCTTAGACGACACAAAGACAAGTTGTCAATCCGAAAGCCAACTAGAACATCATATGCTCGTGCAAAAGGTTTTACTCGTGAAAGAGTTAATGCCTTTTATGACTTGCTGGAGTCCGAATATTCAAAACACAAATACCCAGGTGACCGTCTTTGGAATGTGGATGAAACGGGCCTGAGTGTAGTTAAGACAAAAATACCACAAGTTATTGCCAGTAAAGGTAAACGCCAAATATGTTCTCTAACTGCGACAGAACGTGGATCTTTGGTCACAGTCATATGTTCAATGAGTGCAGGAGGATCTTATGTCCCTCCGATGTTGATTTTCCCAAGGATAAAAATGTCTGATCTCCTTATGAAAGGAGCTCCTCCTGGGTCAATTGGAAGAGCTCACCCGTCTGGGTGGGTTCAATCAAATCTGTTTAGAGACTGGTTAGCTCATTTTATTGAAAAAACAAATCCAACAGAGACCTCGCCCATACTACTTATCCTTGACGGTCACTTTTCGCACACAAGAAACATTGATGTGATCGATTTGGCAAGGAAAAATTACATCACGATATTGTCCTTACCATCTTACACAACACATAAATTGCAACCACTAGACCGCACTTTTATGGGAGCTTTAAAGACTCACTACAGTGAAAATATCCGACAGTGGATGCTTCATGAAAGTAGACCTGTTGGGCCTTACGATATTGCTTCCTTTTTGGGAAAGGCGTACCTCCGATGTACCACAGGGGTAAACGCTGTAAATGGATTCTGGGTGACAGGTACCCCCTGGAAAGAAATATTTTTCAAGACCATGAATTCATTGCAGGCGAGGAGGAGGCACCAAACGAAAATCAGGCTGAGAACACTGATAACCGACTGCATGACACTCCTGCAGTTGAAGTCAATCCTCATCCACCAACAACCTTCGCTGTGTCTCCTAAAGACATTCACCCCGTTCCAGAAAAAAAGAAAAAATCAAACCGTGGACGAAAACCCTGCATCGCAAACGTCATTACTAGTTCTCCTTATAAAAGAGTGCTAGAAGATTTTCTGGCAACAAAGAAGCTGCTGCAAGTCGTCGTGGTCGTGGCCGTGGCAATGGCCGTGGCAATGGGAAATACACTGGAAGAGGTGCTTCAACAAGTGTCACTCGAAGTTTGACGTTTGTTAACCCCATACCATCTTGTCCCGGACCTCAAACTAGCGCTGTGACGTTTGATAACCCCATACCGTCTTGTTCTGGGCCTCAAGCTAGCCCTAAAGGACAAGCAGCCAAGTCTGACTGTACCCCACGTGCCAACGCTGGAAAATAAAAGAACAACCCTAAACACAAACGTCCAGCTGACAGCAGTGACGACGACGATGATGATGATGATGATGACGGGATGCAGCTCCCCACTTGCTCCGGTGAATCACCTTTTGATCTATCAGTTGGAGAGCCTCAACCAAACCAAGATGACGCATCATGTATTTTTTGTGATGAAAAGTTCACCAACAGCGTGCGGGGGGAACTATGGGTTCAGTGTCTCATGTGTTCACTGTGGGCACATAACGAATGTGCAGGGGCAGAGAAGGATAAGTACGTCTGCGATTTCTGTCGTTGTTCGTCCATTATTACCATGTAGGACATTTTAATTTTGTAGACTAGACTATATCTACCTATACATACATATTATGCTGTATCTACTTATATACACTCTATCTACTTATGTATAATAAAAAGGTTTTTTGTTCAATGCAGTTATAATTTTCAGAATTTGCCAATATTTCCTTAAATTAATAAGGGGGTCCATATTACAAACACCATGGGGGCCATATTAACTGCACATCCCGTTTTCTGATGAATGTGTCAACTTTTAAAAAATTATTTAAAAAAAAATGTAAAATGAAGTCTTAAATCGCTTTAACTATTACAATGTGTTCGGTAACTAACACCATATCGTAACTAAGCTAACAATCTCTGTTTTTTATTAATAATATCAATTTTACAATAAAAAATCAAAATGGGGGTCCATATTACCACCTTCTCCTCTATATATATATATATATATATATATATATATATATATATATATATATATATATATATATATATATATTATATAAAGTTATTTTTTAAGAGCACTACTTATATTTTTAGGATAGCTGAAGACATGCAATTTGCAACAAATAGTGGATTCCAAAAATTACTTGTATTAACTGGAGTTACTAAAATAGAGGACGTTCATGAGTGGAAACATGAAGAAAAGTATAAACCAAAGTATTACGTTGATAGTATTGGAGCTTTAAATCTAATTCTTGGAAAACTTCAAATAAAGGAAATGTCTTAGATATATTTTGTATGTACCTACCCATTTTTTATAATAATAATAAAAAAAATAAAATTGTTATGCTACCGAAAGGTGTATTATTAGTTTTATTATTTAACACAATGCAATTATTTATTATCATTTAATTCACGAGATATTAACATTAAAACATATACAGAGTGGGCAACTGAAAAAAACTCGCGCCGGAAATATTCAATACTTTTTAAGAAAATGATAAAACAGATATATTTATATTCTAAAGGAGAAACAGTTTAAACATGCATATATAATTTCATTTGCCAACCCCCTTAATTTTAAATAGGACATTCCACGTGTCGCACATTATTAGCAGAGTAGTTCGGTGAAGTATTTATTATTTCATAATTTTTCTTACTTTTAAACTAAATTTTGCCAAAAAGTATTAATTTAGCGAAGATTTAGCGATAATTTACGCCGAAGCCCACTGGCCTTTTTTTACTAATAGTTAGGAATAAAATAGTTTACTTAATTCTGTGTTATTAGGATATATTTTAAAATATTTTATCAACACCGGTATGTAACCTATTAAAATAAAACGATGACGTCACACTACACACCGTAGCGCATCAACTGCCTCCGTGGCGCAATTGGCTAGCGCGTTCGGCTGTTAACCGAAAGGTTGGTGGTTCGAGCCCACCCGGGGGCGTAAACTTTTTAAAATAGAAAAGTAAATGAATAGAATTACTTGACGTGTCCCTTCTACATACAATTAATAAAAATGTTCTAGAATTTTTTAATTATGTATTTATGCATTCTTACACCCAAAATATTGTAATTATAATTTATAACATATTAATTCGTATCATAACTAAAATTCTCTAAAATAGTCCAAAGGATAATAACAGAAGGTTGAGAGACTTGCCGTACATCCAAAAATATGTTCACTTTTCATGAAAATCAGAGAGAAAAGAGATCGGAAGTGGCAGTCCAGACAAATAAAAGTATAATTCTAACATTGTCTATTTAGGTAATAACATACATAAAAGAAAATGCACCTAAATTTTAGAAAAAATACCAGGATATTGTAAAATCTATTCTAGAAATGCCAATACCCGATAATAAATCTGAACTATTCTGGATGGCAAAGTTTTTGGGCAAATTTGTACCTAACATGTCAAAAGTCACAGCCCCATTAAGAGAACTAACAAAATTAGATGTCCCTTGGCACTGGACTGGTATTCATGATAAATCTTTGTTTTAATTAAAATATTTGCTAAGAGCATCACCAGTGCTAACATTTTTTGACCCATCTAAAGAAATAGAAGTTGAAACTGATGCCAGTAAAGATGAGTTAGGCGCTTGTTTGTGGAAGGTGGCTATCCAGTGGCCTTTGCATCTAGGAACTTAAGCACAACTGAGCAAAAATATGCTCAGATTGAGAAAGAAATGTTAGGAATAGTTTTTGCTTTTCAAAAATTTCATTATTTTGCGTATGGTCACAATGTGCTTGTTAGTTGTGATCACAAACCTCTAGAATCAATAGTTCGTAAAGATATACGTGCATTATCTCCACGTTTGTAAAGAATGTGTTTACGGCTATTGGATTATGACTTAAATGTAGTATATAAACTTGGAAAGTATCTGTATATTGCAGATACATTATCTCGGGCATTTTTACAAGAAGGAGGTCTGAAGTCAGATGCTGAATTTAAGTTTGCAGTTCATGCTGTAGTAAATAATGTTGCTATGTCTGATACTAGAAAATCAGAGTTTAGAATAGAAACCCATAAAGATAAGCAATTGCAAACTGTTATAAACCTGTGCATACAGGGATGGCCAGAACACAAGCGTGATGTTCTACAGATAGTTAATAATTTTTTTAAGCTCAGAGACAACTTATGTGTCTGTGAAAACTTGTTATTTTGTGGGAATAAAATTGTTGCTCCTAAAAGCTTAAGATCTGAAATGTTAAGGCTGGTGCATGAGGGTCATATTGGCATTAAGAAATCAAAAGCTAGAGCCAGGCAAATTTTTTACTGGCCAGGAATGAGCTCTGATATAGAGACATATAAAAAGATGTAAATCTTGTAAAAAGTTTAGATCGAAGCAACAAAATGAAACATTATGTCCATACCCTTTACCAGAATATCCATGGGAAAGAATTGGCATTGACATTTTCACATATTGTGGTACAAGTTATCTAGTAGCTTATGATTCTTTTTTAAACTGGATAGAGCTTCACTCTATAAAAGATAAATCTGTTTTTTCTGTCATTAAAGTTTTAAAGCCAATGTTTGCTATACATGGTTCACCAGCTTTATAATGTTCCTTTCAATAGCTATCATTTTAAAAACTTTACTACCGAATGGAATTTTCAAATTAAGTTTAGAAGTCTCAATTATCCGTGGTCAAATGGGCTGGCTGAGAAAGGTGTAGGTCATTATTGCAATATAGGAATTCACCCCTTAAACACATTGGTTATACTCTTTCACAGCTCTTAATGAGTAGACACTGTAGAACCAAATTACCTATTGATAAAGATATGTTAAAACCAGCTTTATGCATAAATGTAAAAGGAAAATTAAGTAAAAGGAGAAATGTGTATGCCAGAGACTATAAACAAGGTGTTAAGGATTTAGAGTCGTTAGAACCTGAGACAGATGTTGTTATGTACAATGAATGTCACAAGAGGTGGGAACCAGCCCAAATAGTATCGCAGCATGAAGCCCCAAGGTCTTATATCTTGAGAGATGAGCATAATTATATTGTCCGTCGCAATAGAGTAGATATTAGAGAATCCCTAAATAGATTTAAGTCACAACCAACTATAATACTTACGAATACAAGTGATGTAGATTTAGATCAAGAACCGTCATCCTCAACACAGACAACAGAGGCAGAGTTACCTACCTCTACTGACATACAAAATAATGTCACTGACCAAGCAGATAATTATAGAACTAAATCAGGTAGAGTTGTTAAACCACCTTTAAAACGGAATTTGTGTAAAAAGGTGGAGATGTAATATGTGTTATATAAATGCCTTATGTAAAGGTGGCTCGAGTTCTAAAAGGTAATGGTAATGACAGTTATCTGTTAGGACAGTTGTCATCTAGGCGCCTGTGAGTGGTAGCCGCAGCACTTAAGTTATTGATACATATGTATTATGTATTATTGAATAAACAGTTATACTAAAGATATCTAATGTTTATTTTAAGTCATATCTTACAGATATGATCTCCTACTAGGAGTAATGTTAAAAAACGAATAAGGGAAAACTGTGAATAAAATGGCAAATTTAATAGACGCTGTCGTAATGTAACAAAATATTGCGCATCAACTGCCTCCGTGGCGCAATTGGCTAGCGCGTTCGGCTGTTAACCGAAAGGTTGGTGGTTCAAGCCCACCCGGGGGCGCAAAATGTTTGTTAAAATTAACAACATAATATGTTTATTAACGTAAATTAAATTCTACGAAAAAATGTATTTTAGATCCAAAATCTATGTACTATTATGGTAATAATAAGATTTTAAGAACGTCAAGAAAAAAGATGTGATATAGAAGGCAAATTGAAATAGGGAGAATATATAAGACATAATCAATGTTTTTTTGACACATTTAACATAAACTATATTAACTATATCGACTATATCAAAAAATGCCGCCCCCGGGTGGGCTCGAACCACCAACCTTTCGGTTAACAGCCGAACGCGCTAGCCAATTGCGCCACGGAGGCAATTGATACAGACAATGATTAATCGTGTAATTTACTTGATTGTTTGTAAGTTGGGAAGAAATGGCTGTTCTTTTCAAAAACCAGTATAAATATAAAACTAAAACAGGAAGTGTTCTAAAAGAGAGGAATTATTAGGCGTGACTAGTACATTTATTGGAAGTGTAAACTTTTTCTACAAAGAAAAATTTAAAGGCAGTGGGATCAGACAGCAGTAGCAGTGAGTTGGACCAGACTATTCCATCTGACCGTAGGTTAAAAAAATATTATATCCGGTATCCTGTTTCTCCCTAACGAAGACATATTCATTTTAAGGATATGTTACAGTTTATTTAAATCATCTCTATTTACTAAATTTATCTAACTTTTATGTAAAGAAGCATGTCCCTATTTTTGTTGCGACTTAAGCAACTTTGTCCAAGAACTGAATATGCGGTTCTATTACGAAGAGCGTTTCCTTTAATTAAAATTTTATATGTATCTAAATTAAACCTGGAATATAAGGGATAGTGATGCGCAACGTATAGCCTCTCCTATCCAAATGTCAATCTCACCTGCACGCGTGATGATCTTGATTCTGGTCATCCGGTGCATCCTGCTAGATAACAAACGAGGCTCTGACGTCCAAGTGATTGCCGATATAAGCAATCCTCCACTTACCTACCAACGGCTTCGGGCTAATGAATTAGTAAGTGGTAGGGCACTCTTTTGTCCTAAGGTTGGGAAACTGGCCCTAAAGGCGGATGAACCAAGAACTAGGTCAACGGCGTAAGGATGTAGAAAGCAAGGAGAAACCACTACATTAAAAATCCATATGGGTATTTCTTGTACATCTATCATAGCTACAGAGTGAAGACTACTGATAATGTATATCGGAGTGCAAGATCCGGCAGGGGAGGAATAACAACACAGAACCACGGGGCCTCCCAGGTCGTTAGCAAGCGAAACCCCCAAAGTAAAAGGATTGGATGCGCCTAGAAAAATAAGCAGTTTAGTAAAATATGCACCTAGACCGTCAAGACCATGTACGAAGCAGGGAAAATTTATCATGCCATCCAGAAAATGGAAAGACTGAATATCGATAAAATGGACATCAGTGAAATGCGATGGCCTGATGCCGGAAAATGTCAAATAAACGAGCACCAAGTATATTACTCTGGAAATACAGAAGGTCAACATAAGTATGGCGTCGGAATAATTTTAAATAATCAAATACGTTACGAATTTTGTTCCAATATCCAATAGAATCATACTCATTCAATTGGATTTATTCCCAGCAAAAACCAACATAATCGAAATATACGCCCCCTTCTTCTTCTTAACGTGCCCTATCAAGTCC